TCTATCTGTGCTGTTGACTGAAAGAACACATCTATAAAATGAGTTCTTCTCGGTCCTTATCGTATTGCTGTTTTACCAGTCTCACCGTGAATGTATTTGTCTTCCTGCAGTTCTGCAGCTCTTCTGCAGCTCTCCCAAAGCAGCCTTGAGATACGCTGCAGTCAGGACCCTCAACAAGGTACAGCTTCACTCACTATCCTTCATATGGCTTGTTTTATTCTGTGTAAGCATAGAGCAATTTGATTTCTTACAAGCTTACAATTTGTTGAGCCATATGTATTAAGTCAGCTGGATATATACTTAAATGATTTTAAAAGTGACACTTCCTTTGTGTCCACCAGGTGGCCATGAAGCATCCATCGGCTGTGACTGCATGCAACTTGGACCTGGAGAACCTGATCACCGACTCAAACCGCAGCATTGCCACACTGGCAATCACCACGCTGCTCAAGACCGGCAGTGAGAGCAGCGTGGACCGACTCATGAAGCAGATCTCCTCATTTGTCTCAGAGATCTCGGACGAGTTCAAGGTCAGGCACTTTTGTTTTAGTTTAGTTTAATTTCATTCATACACATTGGGTGTTATGTACAGGGAGATCCTACTTTAGCTGTCACATTTAAAAGTTGCTGAAATATCCTTACATTAGAGCCCTGTAACTGAGTCTATCCAATAGATTTCTTTCCACGGATAAGCTATTTGTCTTGCTTTAAATCAGAAAAAAACATCAAATACTCTAAGAAATGAAGGCGAGGCAGAACTTTAAGTTGGAAATGCATAAAGTGTGTTGTCTTATTTTCTGGATGTTGTATTGGCATTCTAACACAATACTTGTTCAAAGTGTGAGAATGATTCACAATGAGGTTTTGTTTTTGCCCAGGATTTCATCTTCTGTGGCCAAAAAAGATTAATTTCTAATATGAGATTCACAGCCCCCCCCCCTTTTAAATCCTGTTATTTTTGTCCTATTTTCTGTTGTCCTAAATCTGTCCCTGATGCTTGTTTACTCCAGGTGGTGGTGGTGCAGGCTATCAGTGCTCTGTGCCAGAAGTATCCCAGGAAGCACAGCGTCATGATGAACTTCTTATCCAACATGCTCAGGGATGATGTAAGTTGATTATTAACGGACCGCTGACGATCATTCACTCTTTGGTCTTTGCCTCCTTATCGCTGATATCCTTACCTATGCAGAAAACTCACTAGTAACATACATGTTGTTATCGCAGTTGGGCAGCTTGCATGCTTTTAGTATTCAGATCACTTAAATCTGTTTTTTATGACACATGTTGGAAGGTAAAAAGGTGTTATAACAACACAATAACTGTGTGTAGGTGATGCATGTTTGTGTAATTCTTTTTACTCACTTAAGACATACAGTTTGTGTTGCACAAGACTCAGAGAGCATCTCTCCCCTCCCTGCAGGGTGGTTTTGAGTACAAGCGGGCCATCGTGGACTGCATCATCAGCATCATTGAGGAGAACCCAGAGAGCAAAGAGACGGGTTTGGCCCACCTGTGCGAGTTCATCGAGGACTGCGAGCACACGGTGCTGGCCACAAAGATCCTGCACCTACTGGGCAAAGAGGGCCCGCGCACTCCCCAGCCCTCCAAGTACATCCGCTTCATCTTCAACCGAGTGGTGCTGGAGAGCGAGGCTGTTCGTGCAGGTGAGACAGAGAAAGGATATTGAGTTATAAGTTACTGTACTTATTTTATCACAACCTTTGACGCAGCCACAGGCTGACTCTTTAACATCCAAGCCAAGTATTTATGCCGACACTACTTAATTCATTTATTTCTTCTTCCACCCTCAGCTGCAGTCAGCGCTTTGGCTAAATTCGGAGCTCAGAATGACGATCTGCTTCCGAGCGTCCTGGTTCTCATGCAGAGGTACTCATTAACTTCCATTAGTTTTTTCTTGTGTGGCTGTGTTTCCCCACATTTCATCTTTCCGTGGAAAATGCAGACAACACTGGTCACTTTATTGCTAATGGTTGTGAGACCTCTTATATGTATTCTACACGATACATTTTTGTTTGAATGAGTAAGTGATGTAATGTGACTTTAACAATTGTCCGTGTCCGTAGGTGCATGATGGACAGTGACGATGAAGTCCGCGACAGAGCTACTTTCTACATGAACGTGCTGCAGCAGAAGCAGAAGGCTCTGAATGCTGCCTACATCTTCAACGGTAAAGACGCGTACAGGATTTTGAGCGAATTACTGGTGGCTGCTGGTCAAACTGTATAAACCATAAATGCTGAGAGCGCCTTGCTTGGGCTCCTGCCAGACAGCTCGTAGGGCAAACACTCTCTGCAGTTCTCTAAAGTGACAAGCGATAACGCCTCCTCTCCTGTGTGTTATTCTCAGGTCTGTCAGTTTCCATCCCCGGCCTGGAGAAGTCTCTGCACCAGTACACTTTGGAGCCCTTGGAGAAACCGTTCGACATGAAGTCTGTCCCTCTGGCCACCACTCCTATCACAGAACAGAAAACAGGTACAACCACATAGCTATTTACTTAACTAACTGTTGTAGTCAGGAATCAGGTGGTTCAGTGTCTGTTAATGTTGTTTTTTTTCTTCCCAGAAATCGCCCCTATTTCCACCAGCAAACTGCCAGAAAAGTTGGCCCCATCACGCCAGGACATTTATCAGGGTAAGATAGTAAAAAGCTGTCCATCATTACATTCAAGATGAGTGCGGTGCAAATAGACACTGGCCTTTAATTAAAGATATCAGCCAGGAGTATGAAGGTAAACATTAATCTCATCTTTGCCCTTTGTCTTTGTTGACAGAACAACTGGCGGCCATCCCAGAGTTCCAGGGTCTTGGCCCGCTCTTCAAGTCTTCGGAGCAGGTGCAGCTGACGGAGGCTGAGACAGAATACGTGGTGCGCTGCGTCAAACACACCTTCGCCAGGCACATGGTGTTCCAGTTCGACTGCACAAACACTCTGAATGATCAGCTCCTGCAGAAGGTACCAGCTTTATTTAATCTTTATTTGGATCACTGATACTAAAACGGGGAACAAATTCGATATGGATGTATCTCGTGGGTTGTGTCAGGTCATGGTGCAGATGGAGCCATCGGAGTCCTATGAGGTGATACACTACGTCCCGGCCCCCAACCTCCCCTACAGCCAGCCTGGTTCCTGCTACACTCTGGTCCGCCTGCCTGATGACGATCCCACCGCTGGTAGGAACACTGGGATGTTATTGGGCTTGTGGGAGCAGTGGCAGTAAAAGAGTTCATAACATTTAGATCACAAACATGTTCATCAAAGTCATTCAGCAGCCCAAACCTGAGTTAACAGTGACCTTGTCCAGGGTCCTAGAATACTAACTTTAGAACAGCAAACTGTGAGCGAGAGTTCAACAGCATCGACTGTATATAATAGGATGTAAGAAAACTGTGCTTAGGTGTGTCCCATCTGTCCACAGTGTCTTGTACGTTCAGTTGTACCATGAAGTACCTGGTCCGAGACTGCGACCCCAACACAGGAGAGCCAGACGATGACGGTTACGATGATGAATATGTGGTACGTAATCACAGCACTTCCACAAACTTAACAAAAGGAGGAGAATGGGTTTTGTTTTCATCAGATTAAATTATCTTTTGTTTCTTTCTTTGACTCCAACTCTTCTCTTTTCATCCTTCGATTTTTTCCTGTCCTCCTTTAGCTGGAGGATCTGGAGGTGACGGTTGCCGACCACATCCAGAAGGTTTTGAAACCGAACTTTGGAGCGGCATGGGAAGAAGTGGGAGATGAATTTGAGAAAGAAGAGACTTTTGCTCTGGCGTCTGTACGGACTCTAGACGGTACGCAGAAGTCTGAAATTTAGGCTGAAATATAGAATTCAAACACCAAAATGAAAGTACAGAGGTAGCATTCACTTATAGTAGACCCAATCACGAAGTTTCATTACTTTCTGTATATGTTTGTAAAAAGAAAGCTTCCTGAACTGATTTACACAATATGTTAAGCAGTGTTTAGTTTATGCAATAACTAACAACTATCTGTGTTATGTGACTAATCTGTGTTTTTCTTGTACAGAGGCGGTGGGTAACATCATCAGCTTCCTGGGAATGCAGCCATGTGAACGCTCAGACAAAGTTCCCGAAAACAAGAACTCGCATGTCCTCTTCCTCGCTGGTGGGTGTCAGGATGGTGCTGGTCACTGTTTGGTCTTTAAACATTTTTTTTTTATGCAAATAAAATGTAATAACTTGTAATTTAGTTTTTTATGCAAGATAAAGTTGTCTTTCATGTAACTCTTTAATAAGATGTTTTTGGACACCAAATGCCATAACTACAAATAGCAGGTTGAATTTAGATTTTAGTGTATTCTAAATTTGGTAGAATAGTTAAATTATCAATACTGCAAGAAGACCTCTAGACTTATTAGTCCTAAATAAGAACATATTCTCTCATTTAAATACATTTTCTATCAAACATAATAATGTTAATCACGCTCTACCCAGATTGTATATAATATCTTGTTACTGGACATTCCTGGTGAATGAAGCGAATGAATGTGATCTGATTGGCTCTCCCTCCCTCTCCTCTCAGGTGTGTTTCGTGGAGGTCATGACGTGCTGGTCCGTGCGCGCCTGGCGCTGGCCGACGGCGTCACCATGCAGGTGACGGTTCGCAGCAGCGAAGAGACGGTCGTCGACGTCATCCTGGCGTCCGTGGGCTAAATTCTCACGGTGCAACTTCGTGCCAACGCAACCACAAGAACATTCGTTTGTCTGAGACGTCATTTAGTTCTTCTCCACAGCTCTAAAACTTAATGTATAATTATATTGTGATTATTATGCTGATAAACAGCCAACCTGAAAAACAACATAAATGTTTTATTACTTCTAGTATATGAACTAGTGTTTCTTCACTGTTTCTTTATACTGTCTGATGGTCCTCATGTTTTCTTTGCAGTAAGAATATTCTTCTGTCAAATCTTCAATAAATTCTGACTGTCAATGTACATCACCATTCATTCAGGGTTTTTTTTTTTTTAATTTTTTTATTACAAAACTAGTTTTATTTGAAGAAAAGTTGACATTTAGCTTTTTTCATTAACATCAAGAAAAATGTAGAAAATCATATCAAAATTCAGAGTGCAGCTGATCGCAGGAGCCAACCAACAGAAAGTGGAAGGAATCAAAACAGTCCCACAGACAAGATCAATAATCACACAACCCACAACATCATTTAAGTATCATGCTTCCTCTGGGGGTTCATAAATTAACACGGTCACTGTCAGATTAGTCAGTTAGTTGCATTAAGTATAATTCATCATGTTTCTTGCTCACATTTAATATCTTCCAATGCCAGGTAATTGAGATTTTATGGGTCGACGCTGGTAAATTAGCCCATCGTTTGAGATAAAATCTCAAACTGATGCAGCATTTCTCCTTACAATAATCAGGAAAGGTCATTTATCACTTTGAAGTGTTGCTAAAGTACTGAATAGCTTGTACATTATGCAGTTTCTGTGCATTCGTTCTTGAACACGGGCGTTTGCATGAGTTATCCCTTCAGAAAGAGTGAATAAAATTAAAATATGCATTGAGGAAGCCGGTGGGATCTTCCAGCTGAGGGTAGTGACTGATGTGTTCGTCCAAGATGGTGACTGTCGACCTCTGGACCAGCTGCCTGTGAGAGACACAAAATTGAGATAAGATAATTACAAAGATAACAATTAGGGAGCTATTTTGCTGATATTTCTGATGGTCTAGTGGTTTAATGCACTGAACATGAGCCACAGAGTCCTGGGTTCAAGTCCAACTGTGGACCTTAACATGTCTATCATTCATTTTCTGTTATTTTAACTAAAATGCAGAGAAATCCAGGTAACAATTATGTCTCAAGACTTGGAGTGGATACAAATATAAATCATCTTCACTATTTTTTTAGTAAAGATGAAAAGGAATTGGAACTTTCAACAATATTAGGAAACAAACTTAAAACAAGCTTTCTGACTACATTCTATATAACAAAGATACGTTTGTTTAATCACTGTGTGTCTTCCATGGTGTAATGGAAGTGTGATGGGTCCTGTAATCAAAAGTTTCTTGGTTCAAATCCAGCTTAAAGCTGTGTGTTTGTTAATGTGCCTTCTCAAATGCTCACTGCTGTATTCAAGAGAGCACACTGGTGCTTCAACAAGTATGAAAGATGGTGGCGAAGCAACAACACATGCACCTTACAAGCATGAAGTTACCAGTTCAAGACTGAGCTGAGACTCAAGAACAAATGAGATTCCCAACTGTATGTGAAAGTGAAGAAAGATGGTGGAAAAACTCGCAAGGCAAGTGAACCGTGAACCGTGAACCCAATAAAACACAATACAACAATGAGATTCCATAATGCAGATGGTGGTAAACCACAAAATCTGAGATAGCAAGTGAAATCAATGACAGCAAATCCTCCACAAAGGAAATGTTAAAGAAGCGAACGAGAATACAGACAAAAAGCTGAAGAGAAATTTACCTTTTTTAATGCAAAAATGCTTTTTTTTCAAAAATTGAGCCAAATTAAAAATTCAGCGCAGCAGGACCTGAACCCTTGACCTTCTAGGTACCAACCCTTAGGCTTCCTTACTCTACCTCTACTCCTTCACACATAAGGTACATGTGAGCTCTGTTTAACAGATAGAAAATAGAATGGGAAACCAGAGGGAAAAAAAAAATTAAACATAATGAAAATTAAACTAAATGTATATATATGTATATTTATTTTTTACTTATTTACACAA